ATCAAGAAGCGAAGAGAATTTCGTAGATTAGGAGAGCGAGAGTGAGAAATACCGGTTATGCTTATACAGCTTATTTTCAAAGCTACGTCCTATCGTATGAATGATAACTAATTAGGAACCAGCGTATCAATTAACTGATCGACTTGCCGGTGAGTCTTATTCTTGATGGTTATAGAAAATCAGAAAAGTAGGTATTTTTGTTGTTTTTGTTGTTTTTGTTTTGTATTTGGGGGGTGGGGGTGGGGGCGGGTTGTCCCAAAATTCCAGTATATTATGTTATTTTTTCATCTGAAAGTGAGCTGAAAACTATCTCTTATAACTGAACGTCTGATACACTTTTAAACAGGAACTAACCCGGCCTACTACACAAGTACAGGGTAAAACCTTTATCATATGTCGGGCCACTAGTGGGTTGTTGTGACGTCTTGCGCAGTACACGTTGTTTAACTTACATGTATTTTAAGAATAGTGTGTGATTGTGTGTGTGTGTGGGGGGGGGGGTGTTTGTGTGTGTGTGTTAATGTGTGTTTGTCTGTGTGTGTGTTTGTCTGTGTGTGTTTGGGTGTTTTCAGTGCAAGTGGGAGGGAGAAGGAGGTCGGCGTTCAGTAAACCGTTACCAAAAATAATAGAGACTTTGTTAACGAAGGTATTTCTAGGGAAATCTGTACCCTGAATCACAATTTAAGTTTATTATTGGTACACCGCAACAGGAACGTCGAGCTGATTCTGTTTCCGATTTCGCTCCCCTCGTTATCATTAGCCATTAGTGTACTAATTATTCTGAAACTGGTTTCCAGGCAGACAAAAATGTCAGTATCGATTTCTCGGAAGTGCTGTCTCTTAGAAATCTTCTCGAGCCAAAACCTCTCACTGACTAGAATTCACCGATTATTTTGCAATAGTGGAAGAAAATTTTGATAACCAAAAGAAGTAAACACGTTTTAATATGATACCAAAAACTTCCTATTTTATTTATTTTGTTCCCAAAAATTGACAAACGCCTGATTTCACTGTGTTGTGACAAAATTACAGGGAATACGGCCGTGTTATATTAATATTAGACACCGTATCGGGCACAGAGGGTGGTAGCGGTCCTCCACTAGATAATTTGTCCGACAATGTCTGACGATGACCAATCCATCCTCAAAAGAGAATTTTCTTGAAGTGAAACACAACAATTAAAGCTTAAGATTTATTTTTGGCTTCTGCAAAGGCTAGGAGAAAAGTTTGTCACTGCTAGCAGAGAAAAGTTGAAACAGTTTAGGCTTTTAAAAGCTCCACTTCCATCCTAGTTGATGTGCGCAGCTTACACGCTTCTCGTTTCGTTTCAGCATCGTATTTGTCAAGCCTCATATGACTTGCTGCCCGCTGCGACAGCTGCTGCTCTCCAACTGGGTCTGTCAGGAGTTAGGCTCACCAATATTGAAACATTTATGTCAATGTTTCACCAAAATTTAGAAAACAATGGTAGCTTAATATCATATTGGGACTCAAAAATGTTTTCACCTTTTTATACTAAAAAAATGATATAATGACTTAGAAGTTACCACCAACTCTAAATTATCCACGCTCTTGTCTAAGGCAATTTTGGAAAAGCTTGTTACCTTTTCAGTCTCTCAGTTAACGACATGTCTATGTACACGCTCATATCCCAGCAGAGGGAAGAGAAATCGACTAACTTCAAGAACGTCAATCCAATTTAGATATCAGCTTATTCTACCAACATCTTTGGTTGTCATAGGCCTAAGTTTAGCTCTATATATACATATCTAAATTTAACCTCACAGGCCATTTTATATTAAGGTACATCTATAAAATATTAACGTCGAACTATAATGACCTCAAATTTATTAGTACCAGCCATATGTGAGGCAGCGTGGCGGAATCAGGCCCTCGTCAATTTTTGGGCATGTCGAGTTATTAGTATCATCTTAAAGCTTGTTCATTTATCTTTATTTGGTTGAAAACAATATCCATTTATCTTGAATACAAGTCGAGATATTTGCGACAGAAGGAGGTGGGGGTCACCTGTTTTCAGAGGTAAAATTAGTGAAAAAATGGCAGCCAAAGATTAGTGATTTCCTTAGCTTAAGAGTCCGTGGTAACTGAAAATTTACATTTTTTGTGCCTTTAATCAATGTTTTCAGACAAATCCACAACGAAATTAGTTCTTTAAAGGGCATGAAAGGCGTAGAGCCAAAAAACAATTTTTTTTAAAAATTCACAAACCTGCGGAAAAATGCAAGTTTCGTCATTTTGATTATTTTGACGATAGCCTGATTCCACCACGCTGCCTAACATATAGATTGATATCACTGGGTGACAAACTTTTTTTGTGGCATGCAGTGTGAGACTTGATTTATAGAAATTTATAGTGACAGAACCCAAAAATGACATCAGTTTTGCTCTGTCATGTCATTTTTTTCCTCTACTGCCTTACCGCTGTTTTTGCGGTAAACAATTTGATTAACCCTAAATAAATAGTAATAAACAACAACTTTGTTTAGACAAAAGCAATCTTTATAGGCAAACCAATACTTTTGCAATTTTTGTAGTTGTTTTGTATTCTTTTATAGCAATTAAGTGTAAAACTGGATACCGATGAGCTATAGTTTTGCAGGGCACAGGCAGAAATATAGTTTGCATTTTATTACTTTTATAGCAAAGAAACTTAGGCATAATTTTACTATAAATGATTACTAATTGGTTTTGTATGAAAATGTAAACATTTAAAGTTCAAAATGCTAATTTCATTGATTGAAACATTTAAAAAAAAATTTAAACTATAGGCTTTTCTGTTCGAAAACTCTTAAATTGTGTCATTTTAACATGAAAAATACCGCTTTCTGATAAAGCAAAATATGGACGAGATACGCTGAAATAATACCATTTCTAAGTTCAGCGACCCTAAAACAGCTTGATAATAGATATCATTTGTATAGCACAAATCTCCGCTCAACAGCAGGCTCTATGCGCTAAAGAGTACAAATGGATAACAACAAGTCCTGAACCCTTTGCCGTAAACTGTGTGCTGACCAGTGTCATAGTTGCAAAAGTAAATAATGCTAACGGGTAACTTTTATATTCATCTTTGGCAACAAGCCAACAAAAAAGGCTCTTTTCCAACGCAGTTATGTGAACCATATTTACTGTAATGATGTTATTCCAAATTAGGAGCATATAACCGAGATGTTCTGACCTTATAAACCTACAGTTAAAGCTATCTAGAAAGCATCTCAAAGGATTTGGACAGGCTTACGTTGCCATTTGGACAGATCAATGGACAAAATGTAAAAGATTATTAAATTTGTCCCGAAAGAGGTACAAACACGCAGTCTAACATCTGTTGGAAACAACAAGTCATGAGTTACACAGTATCAGGACAGTAGGGCAAGGACATGGACATGCTTCTTGGTCTTTTTTGTTTGCATACCTCACGCTCTTGCTGAAACGTTGCTTGTGTGAATGTGTGTGTGTGTGTGTGTGTGTGTGTGTGTGTGTGTGTGTGTGTGTGTGCGTGTGTGTGTGTGCGTGTGTGTGTGCGTGTGTGTGTGTTTTATGTGCGTGTGTGCCCGTGTGCGCGCGTGTGTGCGTGTGTGTTTGATGTACCTGTGTATATGTGTGTGTGTGTGTGTGTGTGTGTGTGTGTGTGTGTGTGTGTGTGTGTGCGTGTATGTGCGTGTGTGTATGTCTGTTTTGTGCGTTTTGGTGTTTTTTTAAATTTTAAAATCCCGCCATAAAAGGTTTTTTTAATAGGAATCAAGATGCTTGCCAGTATTGGAGATGGGGGGTCGCCTGGTATCAGAGATAAAATTATCGAGAAAATGGGTGCCAGTTTGGTGATTTGCAAAGCTAGGATGCTCTTTGGAAACTGCGTTTATATATTTCTGTGTTTTGATCAAAGTTTGTCGGAAAACCCACTGATAAATGTGTTTATAGAGAGACATAAAAGGTGTTAAGCTAAAGAAATAAATTTGACAAAAAGTCCCAAAAAGTCTGGAAAATAACGGTTCAATCTTTTAATCGCTTGTATAATTTTGACATAATATGGTATATCAACTTGCCCCTAACTAACTCAGGTACAATGCTCATCTTCCATGAGACTAGCATTCTGCACGAGCATTCTGCACGAGGCCAAGAGCAACATACTCATTGGTATTGAATTGAAATGAAACATTCAAACTAATATAATGCCCTTCACAAGCTCTTGTAAACAAAACCTTTCAAATCGACATGAGTACGTCAAAAAGGAAGGAATTATGACATAATGTTGCTCTATCCCACACGGTTATGATTAAAAATAAGATTATTTAAAAATCATTGTTTTTGGTATCATGAGAATTTAAACAATCACCAACTAAGACTAATCAGCTTAACTTCGCAAATCATAAAAAGAATAGGCAGGCACGTTTGAATTATAGGTCTAACAAATACAATTAAGGAGGGGGGGAGGGAAGGGGTTAGTTGGTTTAATCATTTTTATGACACATATAATTATACAATTATATTCCATCGTTAAAAAATGGTATAATAGTTATAACTTAAAATTATCTGTGCCAATAAAATAGCATTAAGATAGCACATTTCGGATTATATTTTAAAACATTATTATTGTTAAATAATCTTGGCGGATTTCAACGAACGTCCTCCTTATGCCAATAGAATACAATCGTAGTATTACGTTTTGTGATCATCTGTGGCCATCCATAGACTTGAATTATGACATCCTACACTGATACTGCCAGGGACACACGCAGACTTGATTTATGGTATCTTACTCTGGCACTGGTCAGACGAAGAGTCACAATCAGAAATGATCTCCAGAATAGCACAAACTTTAGCAGCAATGACCCAGTTGAACACCATCTGGAACGATAGAAACATCCCCATCAGATCAAAGATCAGACTGATGCGGTCCCTGGCCATGTCAGTATTTTTGAGTGCATTTGAATCCTGGACCTTGAATGCACACCCTGAAAGAAGGATCAAAGTTGGGGAGATGCGATGCTTCCGAAAAATCCTTGGTATCTCATACAAAGATCGCATCACTGATGATGAAGTCAAACAACGGATCAAAACCGAAATTGGACGTGCCGAACTTCTCACTCTAGTCAGGAAATGAAAACTTTATTGGTATGGACACATCATCTGTTCATCCGGCCTTGCCAAGATGATTCTGCAATGCAGCGTTCTGGGGAAAGGAGAATTGGCAGACTGAAAAAGAGTTAGGAGGACAACATCAAGAAATGGACAGTCCTGGAACTAAAAGACACGCTCAAGAAAGCTGAACACCGGAAGGAGTGGAGGAAGCTGGTGACCAAATTTTCAAAAGCGCCCCAACGGACACACAGTCTACAGGATAGGTGAGGTGAAGGTGTGACCCTGGAATTGATGATTTACTGCCACTACTGTCACTATTAAAACCACTTACTTGAATGACTACGACTAGAGTCAGTATAAAAACCATAGACATACACACGTATTATGTTATGCAAGACTTTACGCTCTTGGTTAATTCTGATTCACCATGGACCTCTATTATTTGAATGTATCTGGATCCAATTAAATGGCAATGAGGGAAAAGGTCCACGCGCACGTGCGTATAGCGAGACAAGTCGTGTGTGGCCTCTGTTTGCGTGCCCATTGTATTTGCCAGAGCACTAACGTTTTCAATGATAGCGGCAATGCTAGTTATTGTTAAGGATCTTAATTCATCTCTACGTACGACCCCAACAGTGTCAGTGTATGTTATTACAATTAAAGCCTATAAGCAGCCACGACAGTAGAAGTGTAGAAATCACACTTGGCCATTGGACGGTATGATGAAAACGCATCCAATGGTATCCAAAGGCACCCTGTATCGTTGTCTTCACTATCGTCCGTCCTGTTCTTTCGACTTTGGCGGCTTATTGGTTCCATCTGGAGAGGGACTGGGAACGCCTTCCTTCTTTGTGTCGGTTGCACCGATATAGACGCCGGACTGGCTGAACACGACGTCGGGGTGCGGATAGCAGTGGTAGATGCTGTCATCGAAAATCTCGTCGTTGAAGAGCCGCGGGTGGTTGAATCTACTCTCGTAGGGGTCCCATGGCAGGTCGAACGTGTCCACACCTTTGGTCTTCATGCGGGAGAGGCGCACCGCTTCAGCTTTCTCTGTAAAAAAAAGAAAGAAAGAAAGATGGAATAAAGAAAGAAAGAAAGAAAGAAGAATACATGAATAAATATAACAATAAAACAATTAAAAGATTTTTAAAAATATATATTTATTTTAAATGAAGAAAGTGAATCAAACGTGGTTCTAGAAATGGCATTTATTTATGAATAACATAGACTATAAAGAATACATTTTGCTAATGAGTGCGAAGAAAACCCACATAAAGGACTGTAACTTGGTCATCGATGCACAGATTTTAACAATCATTCGATCAAACAGATTTCAACCAGGAAGACATCAAGCTTGAAGAAAGAAGAACCAAACCACTCCAGAGCACTCGCCAACCACCAATCAAGAATGGTGTGGGGAGCATGTGATAAGCTGTAAGTACACACACACACACACACACACACACACACACACACACACACACACACACACACACATTGCAAGTTTGTTAGTGTTTGAGCGCTTAACCAGTTGCTTGCTCCGGGAAGCTGAGAATGTTTCTGAGTGTTTTATGATCTGCTGGGGTAATAATATAGAGTAAAGTGCATAGCGCTTGCTTTTGAGTGGGGACATGCACTATACAAATGCTGTTTATTAGTATTATGCTGTAGAGGTCTGGTTCCTGTGGGATGAGGCCATGCCTCAAATGTGTTGAGTGGTCTTTGTATAGTTGCAAGAACGGTTTTGTTTTAGTAGTGGTTTTTACGGCGATCGCAACTGCGTAGGGTCATATGAGCGCCAGAAGATTAGAGGTGTTACAAAAGAGTAACAAACATGAAAAAGAAGGAGGGGAGATAAGGACGATAGATGTTTGAAAGGAAAGAAGAAGCAAACCACTCCAGAGCACTCGCCAACCACCCACCAAGAATGGTGTTGGGAACACTTGATAAGCAGTAAGTACACACACACACACACACACACACACACATACACACACACATACACACACACACACACACACACACATACACACACAACCACACACACACACACACATACACACGCACAACCACACACACACACGCTCACACAAACACACACACAAAAACACATAAACTAAAATAAAGACAAACTTTATGATAATGCTTAGATACCAATTTTAACCGTACACATCCCTAAGTAGGTTATCCAAAAATTACATCGGTGATCAAAAACAAGAAATGATTAGTTTAATATGAGTTTAACGGCACTTGCAAGACAAATAGCTCACAATATAATTACCTTACAGAGTAACATACAACCAAAAGAGTGAAACATGATAAAGACTGATGTTTGGAGAAAAAATGGAGCAAACCTCACCAGGGCACCCACCGGCCACCAGCCACCCACAGACTAACAACCGAGACGAGATCAAAAACATGTATGTGTCTATTGTCCGTCACGAAACTGGAATTTAGACAACTGTCAACCAGCACCCCCCAGGAAGAACTGTGGTAAAATTAAAATTTATAATGTGTCACAACGCGGTGGAATTATGGGCGCTAGTCACTTTTGGGCATGCTATAATAGTAATTGGTGTCATCTTTTAAAGCCTGTTCAATTGCTTTGCCATTTTTTAATTTAAAAAAAGACCCATCTACCTTAAATACAAGTCTACAAGGCGCTATATGTGTGATTTTAAGGAGTGGGAGACACTTGGTTTCAGAGGTAAGGCAAGAAAATAGCCGTCAAAGTTCAGTGACTTCCAAAGCTTGAGAGTTCGTAGAAACTGCAAAATTACAATATTTTGAACCGTCACTCAATGTTTTTTAAAAGAAAAATCCACACAACATTCGTTTTTAAATGAACCTAAAAAAGTGTTGAATCAAAATAACGAAACATTGCAAAACAAAAACTTAAAACAAAACAAAACAAAACAAAACAGAAGCAAAGTAACTAGATAAAACACAGCCAAACGAGTGAGAAAATGACCATTTCTTCGATTTCATTAGTTTGGATAGCACACGATTTCACCACGCTGCCTCACATAAAAACAAGGTATCAGTCTGTCGGTGTTGTGTTGAACGACTGACGTAGTAAATGTGTGATCATCACTTCTCTACATTATCGCTGCTACGTTACAGCTGCTTTCTGGGACTATATTTAGACAATGTATTTTTATGGTATTGTTGTACCCCCCCCCCCCCCCCCCCCAACCGACTAGCCGTTCGCAGTAACAGCATAATATTATGCGAAGCACCGTGGTGAAATCAGGTGCTCGTCAATGTAATGAAATCGAAAAAAACCACGTCATTTTCCCTCTAGTTTGCCAATTTGTATTAAGTTGGGTTTTTTTTGCTCCTAGTCTTTTAATGACCATATAGAAATACATGTCCATCTGAATTTTACTGAAAAACGTTGATTAATGGCACAACATATTTAAATGTTCAGTTTTCAAGTACTCTCAAGCTATAAAAATTACCAAACTTTGGCTGCCATTTTCTCGATAATTTTACCTGTGAAACCATGCTACTCCTACCTCTTTCAGTCACAAATATATAGACTTTTATTCAAGATAGAAGGGTGGGTTTTTTTTCATAGAATACAAGAAAACTGAATAAGCTTTCTGATGATACCAAAATCTCCACATGCCTAAAAATTGACAAGCGCCCGATTTCACCACGTCGTGACACATTTTTCTTCGTAGGAGAGCGTGCATCTATGCAGGTTTTTCTTTGCGCCTCCCAAGTGTTTCTAAAAGGGGACTTGTTTTTCTCCTTCGACACAAATCGGGGAGTTTTTGCTATTGTTTTTGCTCTTTGTTGTTGTTTTTTTCTGTTTTTCTTTTGTTTTCTGTTCGTTGTTTCGATTGTTTTTTTGTTTTGTTTTGATGTACGTGTTTTTACGCCTCCATCAAAACAATTTGAGGTACGAAACTGTGGAACCCGGCGCTCAACAGTTTTTGGACCTTGGAGTTCTTGATGTCATTTTATAATTCGTTCATTTATCTTCTCTGAGATTTTTTTTAAAAAGCTATACCCATCTATTTTGAATAGAAGTAGAGCTATTTGCGACTGAAGGAAGAAGTCCTGCTCGGATAAAATCAAAGAGAAAATGACCGCCTATGTTTGGTGCCTTTCAAATCCGTAGCATAAAAAATGGAAACCTCAGATGTTCAATTGTGCGCCTTTAATCAACTGGGTTTTTTTTTTCAGTAATACCAACACATACATGTGTTTTTAAACTGAGACAGTAGATGTTGAGCGAATAAGAAATGAATAATCGGAGGGGTGGGGGGGGGGGGGAAGGGGGAGAGGTGAGATTTGCCCACAAAAGGCAAGAAAATGATGGGTATTTTAAAAACTTCCTTCATGTTGACGAGAGCCCGATTTCATCATGATGTCTCATATTATTTAAATTATTACATTTGTATTTTGAGTAAGAAAGCGGGCTTCCGAACTTGCCCACCCGTGCGCAGAAAGATATATAATCCCAGCAAAAACACAAGAGATACTCGATAAATATTCTTCTCATCTCGCAGTAGTCAAACTATGGTCTCCTACGTGCGACAAGCGCCTTGCTCCTATGCCACAGTCGCCGGTTAAATCTGTGTGATTTAAATTGTACAACTTTAGCAGTTTTCTCGGCTGCTAGGTGTCTACTTACATACATACTTATTACCCCCCCCCCTCTCCACTATTGGAAGCTGAAAAGAAAGATAGATGTGCTCTGAAGTATCTAAATTGCTCTTCCTGTCCACATCTCACGTTCGTGTCTGTATATTGGCAAAGCAAAGTAATCTATATCTATAGTATGTAATATAGTATAGGTATGATAAATATACACACACATTACATTATATAATATATAACATTATATAACATATATACATATAATAAATATAGCCGCCTTTAATGTATGTGTGTAAATATATATATATATATATTTAAATAAATATATATATATATATACATAATATTATATATATAAAATAATATAAATGTATATTTATATATATATACATATACATATATATATATATATATATATATATATATATTTATGTTTATATTTGTCAATATATATATATGTGATATAGTGTGATGAAATCAAGCGCTCATTAAAACAATGAAAGTTAAAAATCTGGCCTTTTTCCGCAGGTTTGGGAATATTTATCAAATATTTGTTTTTTAGCTCACCACCTTTCATGTCCATTAAAGGACACATTACAGTAAGGATTTTACAGAAAATCTTTGATTTAGAGCACAAAAAAAAATAATAATTCAGTGGACACTGAAGGTAAGGAAATGTCTCAACTTGGCTGCCATTTTCTCGCTCATTTTACCTATGAAACCAGGCGACCCTACGTCCTTCACTCGCCAATATCTAAACTTGTATTCTCGACTTGATAAATGGAACGTTTTTTATCGAAAGCAAGACAACAGAACAAGCTTTAAGATGATAACAAATAACTGCGCATGCCCAAAAACTGACCAGTGCCTGATTCCACCGCGTCGTAATGCATGTTTATAGATATATAAATATCATGCTCTTTATTTCTAAGCCAAAGAGTCCCCTTAAATAAATGTTTTAAAAATAGCCCAGCCTTACAGTACGGGGTATAAAGTCCAACACGTTGAAGACGTGTAAGACTTTAAAAGCATAATAGACAGTGTGGTGAAATCAAGGTCTCGTCAAAGAAATCTAAGGGCAAAAAAAACAACAACTGGCATTTGTTCGCAGCTTTGTGATTTTTTGTCGAATGTTTGTTTTTTCGCTCAACACTTTTCATGCCCATTAAAGAGCACATTCCTGTATGGATTTTACTGAAAAATATCAAAAGTCCAAAAAATGTAAATGTTCAGTTTCCACGGACTCTCAAGCTAAGGAAATAACTAATTTTGGCCGCCATTTTCTCACTAATTTTACATCTGAAACCGGGTGACCACCACCGCCTCTTTCGCAAACATCTCGACTTGTATTCAAGACAAATGGGTATATTTTTTAAAAAATTCGAAGCAAGTTTTTGGGTAGATGGTACTTTGACGCCTGGCCATTCATTATATAAATTAATAGTATAATTATACTGTATGGGTGTTTGTTTGTTTGCGTGTGTGTCGTTTATTGGTGTGTGTATTGTTGTATGTATGCATTTGTGTGTGTGTTTATTGTGTGTATATTTGTGTGTATGTGTTTCTGTGCGCGTGTGTTTGTGTGTGTGCGCTTGTGTTTTTGTAGGTGTGTGTTAGTGTGTGTGCGTATGTGTGTGTGTGTGTGTGTGTGTGTGTGTGTGTGTATGTGTATGTGGGTGCTTATGTGTTTGTGTTTGTTTGTGGGATTGTGTGTGAGTGTGTGTTTGCGGGTGTGTGTTTTTTGTGTGTGTATATATATATGTGTGTGT